GATTTGAAGAGTCTGAGTCTACCGTTTGAGTGATCCCTAAGTGAGGGTAATAGTCATTTTCATATCTTGGTACACCAACTTATGGCACCTTTCTTCTCCCACATGTATCAATAAATATCATGCTAATTAAATTTCAACACTATTGCAAAACAAAGATGTTGTGACTCTATTTTAGATTTCAATAAGAGAATATGTTAAGGAGGAAACCGCTCGGACCAACAACATGATTGAAAGAGAGAGAGAGAGAGAGAGAGAGAGAGAGAGAGAGAGAGAGAGACTTAGAGATTTCGTTAAAATGATGCCAAAGTAGAGACTAGAAATACAAAAAAGAAAGCATGAAACTAGAAGAACAATATATAATGCTATGAGTTCACGCCACATGGGTTCGAAACCTGACCATTCGAGAATTTAACATGTGGATTTTTCAGCATCTGAAACCGAAGACCGTTATAGGTGGTGAGCACATGGTGACGTTCTGGCTGTGTCGTTGTTCATTTCGGTCTCTAGTCTGGACTATTTCGATGGGATGAAGATACTAGAAAAGAAAAAAAAATCTAATGCTATTGGGTCAGTTTCGTATGATTGGTAAGCTTTTTCTAACGGGCCGGAGATATTTCTAATGAGTCAATTTCATGGGAGCCTATGTCCTACCCCCAACAGAAATATGTAATAGCACATTTGGAAAAAGAAATGTCAGGAGTCAGAAGATGGATACTTATTGGGCAAGAGATGAGCCATAAGCCTATAGGCCCAATAGTCTTGGTACGAGTCTATTCCGAATCCCTGAAGAATCAGTGCATGGAAGAAAGATTCTGACAGATGGATGCACACACACAAAAAGAAGAAAAAAGATTGTACAAAAGGAAAGAAACATTCTGACAACGTCATAGCCACGAGATTATTAAGAATGAAATAAATAAGTGTGGTGAATAGCCCTTGTTAAATATTGCAATGCAAATTCCAAACTACCTTTTTTGGTTTTGTTTGATCTATTGTCGTTTATCTATTTTCTTTAGACTAGTTAAGCTGAATTTGCTTTTGGAATGAGAAAAAAAAAACTCACTAAACAATAAAACTTAGTTTCATTTGATTGATTATCAATTTATCATCCAACCGTGGTAAATCATTTGGACCATAAGAGTCGTAACACTGAATTCTCTGCCTGAGTTGATCGAAAGACATAAAGTGGTCGTGTGATTGGTTGATTGTGATTTTGTCATTTGGCGAAAGTTGATTGCACTTTATTAAGGTAAACGTACGTAAAACAAAAGTATAACACTTCATAAACATTTTTTCTTTATCTCGAAATAACATCGAAACATTTATCAACGGGCCACATCAAGTAAGAAAAATAATAGAGCGAGAGGGAGAGAGTACTGTGTAAGCTTGGCTTTTCGGGCACAGAAAAGACATGAGAGTTTTGCTCAAAAAAAAAAAAAGACATGAGAGTATCAAGTGACAATGACTTGAGGATTGAATATCAAATCTTATCTACTCCCCAAACACATCTATCGAACGTGGTAGAAATTGAAAATCTATGAGACAATAGAACAATAAAGAAAAAACACTAGTCAGATAGTATAAAACTGAATTCATACATATACAATAGAGTGATTTTGCCCAATACCCTCATTTGAGACCATAATTAGTAGACTACCCATGATATGACATAAAGATAAAATATAGTAGCTTTTATAACTTAAATGGACAAAATTACATTTACTTCGTTATATAAAATTTGTTAGCGAGTTAATATATTTTTGACATGATATAAAAATTGTTAGCAAATTAACAAAATTTTAACATGGTACAAATTTTGTTATCATGTTACGTCTATTTATTAATGTGTTAAACATATCGCTAACAAAACAAGTTAGCGTGTTAACAATACTAGTATCATAAAAATACATATATTAACCACTAATCAATTATCTATCAAATAGCCGTAAACCTATTTGTAATCGCTAACATTTTATATATCAATTACAAATTCATTAAAATATAATAATAACGGGTAAATAATGAAATAGCTGTTAACTTACTTATTATCTAAATAAAAGAATGTAAATTTCAAGATTTGAAATTGAAAATAATAGAATCAATGTGAGATAATAATATTAGCAATATGGGTGTCAAAAGAATCAGAATAAAAAATAGAGATTTATGATGAAAATGAAAGCATAAACATGACATGTGTGAGAGATAAATAGATTAGAAGATAGGAGAGAGAAAAGAGAGAGAATGAGATAGGAGTATAATGGTTAGACGAAATAATTTCTATTTTGAAAGGGTATATAACAAATATAAAGTATATTTAGGGGGATTCCCACCAATTTCTGTATACAATATTGTCAATATATGAAATAGAATAATGAAAATTAAAGACTTCAGTGTGAGAAAATTCTATTATTCTTATTATAAGTATGTCACATAATAGAAATTATGTGTGTGAATTCGATTTGTGATAAGAAATGGCATTGTACGCACGTCCCGAATCTGAAGAAAGAGATAGGAGAAGATTGAAGGAGAGTTTTTTGGGCTTATCCACCAGCAAAAAGATGATAAGTGACACCCCAACACTTGTCCCTTTTATCATGAACATTGCGATTCCATAAAATTATTATTATTTTTGTAGAAATTGATCAATTTTGTACGACTTGTTCCAATACGATTCTCTTTTATAAAATATGATATCTATTAGAGATCTTACCTAGAATCATTGATTTGTAAATAAATAAAAATCTGACCTAAATGATACAAATACGGAAAGTTTCTATATGTGCATTTAATTTAGACGTTGAAATGTATGGGCAGTTCTGGATATCTATCAAGTGTATCAAAAAGGTATAAACTATACATCTAGAGAGCTAGGCATTGACTTTATTAGTAATCCACTAAATTCAAAATGAATATAAGATTTGAAATTAGGTGTGAGCATTTCGAAACCGACTCAAAAATACCTAATCTATATTCGAACTAATTTTTTCTAAATATCTACTTGATCCAAAATTGCTATGCCGAAAGAACCGATCCAAATAGATCCGATTTAAAAAAAAAATTGATTTGAATAGATTTGACCCGATAAGAACAGCTTAATAGCCAAAGGGATAATTTCATAGTTTATGTTTTCTATATTTTAGTTTATGATTTAATTAGTTGAAATGTGTTTTCATTAGTAATTTTCATTACTACTTTTACCATATTTTCCAAGTAATATGAAACTTTAAATGTCAAACTTAGAGTGTAAAAATGTTTAATTTTAATTATTTAATAGTTTTAGTATTGATTATTTTACAAAATTTTAGATAATATGATTGATTTTACTTTATATTCATTGATTTTGGGTACTTCGGATTTTTTCAGATTCAAACCTGATCTAGACCCTCTATGGATCTCCGAAACTACAAGTATTTTACATGTAGTTTAATTATAGATCCGAACTGATCTGAATTAGAGAGGAATCAATCTAAACCCAAACCAATAATTCCCAAATACTTATTAGATCTAAATGTCTCGGACCTGAAAATAACCGATCCAGACCCGACATGAAAACCCGAACATCCATACTTAGTTGAAACTATTTGACGAGAACACTTCAAACTGTACCCACTAGAGAAAAAAACGTTAATATATATACTTGGATGGTTTCATGTTGCCAATCTAATATAAAAACTGGTTTTCTAGTTTAATACTATTTTGGTTATATATGGTTGCATAGAATGCACTGAATATCTTTTTCCAGAATTCAAAATTTCTCATATCCCAAAAATGTAGAATATAATTCCAGGCAGCTAGTACTGCATGATATTTTCTTAGAAAACTTTGTTTCATTAGTTATTATATTTCGGTTTGGTTACGCTAAATCACTTTAATTTTGAGTAATAGAATAGCAATTTGTTGTAGAAAAAAAAGAACACATTGGATATCTAACATATTTAGTTATTTACCTCAACGTCTTCACATCAAACTCTTGGTTTAAAACCAATATATATGAGAGATTTCAACTTGTTATAAAAACTATTACATTAAATGTATATTAAGGTTAATTTCCTTGTGTTTCAAAAAAAGGGTTAATTTCCTTTGTCTGTGAAGGTTATCAAATTGTTAAAACTGGTAGTCAAGGACAAAGGAAATTATGTTATCTAAATCAGCATCTACATGTATTATTGTTTGCTTGACATAGATATGTCTTGCGGTCTATAACGGGCAAGCCTAGGTTACGTAGAACCGACTCTATGAAAGTAATACAGAAGAAGTTGTGTTTCTTTCAAACTTAAAGTTCGGTTTTTATACAGAATCACATGTTTCAGTTATATTCGGTTTTGATAGAGGATCACATGCTTAATGTGTACTACTACAAACAAAACAACTTGTACTTTTCATATGCTTTAAGTTAGCTCGACTTTAATCGAATCACATTTTATTGCTAGGTCGACTATATAAGTCATCACTGGATATGTACTTGCGTACTTTGCTACGAACTTTATACTTTTCTTGGTTTATGATGACTCTAAACAAAATGGAATCAAAGTAAAAGATACTCGAATATAACGGAGCCGACTAATTAATAAGAAGATTCATTTCTACACTTTTTAGTGGACACACAAATTCATTCTCTAAATAAGTGAACGTTAGAGATATACCAATTATTTAGTAACTCTTAGGACCACAACATTTATTTTCTTCTTTTGTCTATATCATGTCAGGCCAGCTAAGACGCTACAGCAAAACTTTGGCCTCATTCTTATACAGAAACCCTCTTATCAATCACTCAAACTCACCTGTGATCTTTCAATTATTTATCTAGTATATTTTTTTTTTCTGATGAATCTAGCGGTAAAAGTGAAAACAAGATGCTCGAATTTCATATTTTCATTCCTCTACATTATTTTTACCTTAAAATCAATTATTTTCATCTTATTAAAAAAGCTTGGAGTTCAATTTTGATATGTGGTTCCATGTTTTCCTTCTGTTTGTTCATATGCCTCTAACACATACAAATATAAGATCTAAAAATGGCTATGAGTTTAATCATTGAAGTGGACAAAAAGAATAATTATGAATAACAGATCTTTATTTAAACAAAACTGAATTCCACACACGTAACAAACGAAATTATTTACATTGAACAAAGACTCAATGAATTTCACAAATGTCACCACCATGAGGGGTGTTTATAGGGAGAAATCTGCAAAATTCTCAATATTGGAAGGAGCAAAACAAACAAAGAAATTAGATAATAGTTTCAGTTCTCCTCTGTTTCTTTCTTTCAATAAAACAAGACGAGACGACGATCGCAAGAGGAACAAGTGTACTTGCGTTTGACCTTGAAACATAGTGGTAAGAAACAAAACAACCACTTTGTCTCAACATCTACGGCCGATACTTTTCCACCGCAGTATGGACACACACCTGGTGCTTGTTGCCTACCAAGCTCTGTCTTCTCCTCGTGATAAACAAGCTCCAAACACATTTTTGCTGCTTTGTTATATTGCTTCTCGACTTGTCTTTGTTTCTTTCTGGTGCGTTTGGTAGGAAAAATCTGGAAATGTGAAGAACAAGAACGAAAATATTAATACCAGAAAAGGGAAAAATATTATAAAGTGTGAAAACGTTTTCTTTTGTTCGCAAGGACTTTGCTGTAGGGTTTAGCAGTACAATGACAATGAATTTATAGAGGATGGAAGGAGGGAGGATTACGTGGCATACGCTCCAACGGTATATGTATATATAATTTTAAAAATGTATAAATTATATTTTATAATCTAAAAAGAAATCTTGAGTCCTGGAAATCATTTTTTCTAATGACAGCTTTCGTAAAACATATAAACCGTGTATTTTCTAACATAAATACAAATTCTTAAGAGATGAAAACAAAAATTTAAGTCGACGAATGAAACAAGAATCACGAGAAAACTCGTTAGTCACATGGCATGAAGAACTGAAAAAAGGAAGATAAAAACAAATAGCACATTTTACGTCAAAAAGCATCATTTGCAGAGATATTTACAGACTACTATGAAGAAAGAAAATCATGCTACACTATAGCACAATAGCGTTTGTTTCTTGATCCAAAATATTAGGATCTCCCAGGGAGGCAATACACTTCTTATACTTCACATGGTGATACTACAACACTAGTCTTGTTTTCGGTCGACACTACCATATAGATAGGTGTACAGAGAGTAAAAATATCAGAAGTTGTTTGTTGGTGCAACGCATGAATGGTCAATGTAAAACACATTCAAGTTTCGAAATATTAAAACGGGCTAAATTCATAATGCATTTCTATCTGGGCTGGACTCAAAAATATATACAATATTGCTATCCAATACGTCCTTATTCTGGCCCAATATATTTCTTGTGGATTTTGAGATATAAAATCGGAAGTTTTAATCATGTGGTGGGTATCCAGATATATGAATAGACCCAAATTAATCTTCAAAGCAATAGTATAATAACCTACGGATAAAGCTTAGGCCAGAAATTTAGTTTAATCGAAATCTCTAAGTAGAAATCGTAACACTTGATTGATCCAAAGATGGTTCGAAAAAAAGATTGATCTGAAATGAGCTTGGATCAATTCATTGGTTTTTTTCTAATAAATCTTACTATATATTAATTGAGAAGTCGTGTCAATTATATGTGAAATATTTTAAAAAATTATTATAAATTAATGGTTGATGATTTTTAATTTTATTTATTTTAATCAAATCTAAAAGAGAATCCTAAAACCAATTAATGTTAGTTGCCACATAATCTAATATTATTTTATGTATTATCATTTATAATATTTAACTGTAGTAATTATAGAAATTTTTATATAATACTTCTTCATTTATATGGATTCACTAATAGTCTATTTATAAATTATATAAAGTATATTTTTAAAAAAGTAGTTAATAAAATTAATTTACTAATTTTATTTTTATACTATAAAGAGTGGTAAAAGTAGCTTTATTTTTTTATATAAGTCATAATACACATAGATAAAACATATAATTTGATACAAAAACATTATAATAACTATTAATGATCATAAAACGAGTTTAGATTATTTACATGAGTTTAAAATCTTTATAGTATATAAACTATTATAAAATTAATGGTAGCTAATTTTTAAAATTATAGAAAGTGTAATAATGTTTGATTAGTTCTTTTTATATTTATATACTACATAAAATGAACATAAACATTTTATAGCAATCAATATAATGATTTCATATTCATATAAAAAAATAGTTGTATCTATAATAATTATTAATCCCTTATAATCTATGATTTATAAATAGTTAGAATTTGAAGTTTGGAGGAGTATATTTAATGAAACATGTGAGAACTTTGATTTAATTTTTTTTTGCATTTAAGTAAATAATATAGGGAAACAAATGTTATGGTTGAAAATAATTCTAAGATGGATTTTTGGTTCATATTACATGTTTTGTATTACTATTTAGAGATCAATAAATATTTGACAAAAATATGTAAACAATTAGGAAAATATTAGCAAAAATTTAATAAAAATAACAAAATGATAAAGAGAAAATAAGAAGAGACCAAACAAGATGCATAATATGTGTTGGAGAAGTTAATATGATAATTACATACATAATAATTCACAAATATTTGTTATTACTAAACATTCATCATTTATTTTTATATCAGTTTATGAAAACTGTAATAGTATTTTTAATGTTTCTAATTATTATTTAAAATTTATGATATTATATATGTTTTCACACAATTTTTATATCGATGAATTCACAGACAACCACTTAGTAATAGTATTAAACTTGAAATTCTACAAATATTTTTAATTGTTTGTTGTCAACATTAACTGCAATTATAATAAACATTAAACAATAGTTTATGTTTGTGGCTAATTTTAGATCCACATAGATGATTTGTCTTCTAGACGTCTCTTCTAATTTATGAGAATCGAAATAAGTTGGAAGTGGAATATATCTTCAGTACTTTATAAAATAAAATAAAAATAAAATCCGACAATGCTGGGAATGATTAGTTGTCATTTACACCTAATATCATTGATTTCATATATCTGTAAGGTGAGTCATCTAGATCTATAAATATTCCACAGATAATAGCCAAGGCTTTTAGACTAATATTCTTTTACTATCCAATACTTCACCAAAAATGATATATTGATGCACATAGCATTGAGTATTAAGAAGTTTGAATAAAAAAATAATCGAAACCATATCAAGTTGTAGTTCTAAAAACCCCATATCAAGTTTAGTCTAAAAAACAGATCAAGTCATGTCAATGCAATCCTCCATACACGTGCAGAAGTATGTTGATGTATTTTTATTTAGCCCGAGATTTTCTTTATTATAACTATTTACCCTTTTTTGAGTATTTGCATTGTGTATACACAAAAAACCTCCAAATTAGCTATATATCCTATTTCCTCCTTCTCTCTCCTCTCCCCATTATTATTTTTTCCCCCTAAACTAAGGTAAATTCCTAAATAACTTTTTTTTTTGGTATATTCAGCAAATTCACCCATTTTTTTTTTTTTTCATATAACTATGTTTCTTTGATCACCAAGAATCATGTTGGGCCACCCAGCCACGACTTAATAATGTAAAGACAGAACCATAATCGCTTTCTGTTTTTTCTTCAATGTTTTTCTTAATAACCATAAAGAGAAACTTTGACTAATCTCCATAGGTCCCATAATATTCCTTTTTTGTAAATGGGGTTTTCAATTAAGCAAATAAAATGTTTACAAATAAACAAACAAGAACCAATACAACCAGAAGAGGGATAGAAAAGAGGCCAGCTTGGGATACAACAGTTATGGAGATCGAATAGACGTAGAAGAGGAAAGAGCAAACCAGTTGTTGTAGAGCTAAGCTTTTTAGTATCTTCTATCAGATGTGTTGTGTTCGGAATCATGAATCATCCGAATTTGTTTTTTAACAATATAAAGTATTAACCAATACAAAGTATTTAGAGTTATATTCACACTTAAAACTTAAAATATCATATAACTCAAATAACGGCTGCACTTGGCCGACCAAGTCAATACAAATTAACAATATAAAACGGGTTAAACATTTTCCTCGTGGGGATTCTAATAAACGGGTTGAGTGTGGACGCGTACGTGTTTATGCTCGTTAGCTTCAGATCCAAATGAATATTTGTCCAGGATAATCTACCATCCAATTTTTAAGGTCATGTGATCTTTGAGAGATTTAATAATTTAAACATACTATGAAGTATATCCTTACAATTCACTATAACAAAATTGCACATGCAATTCGAAAATATATTGGTTATCATTTGACACCTATGCTTTATATATATGTTATTCGATCCGATACATATAATATACCTTAGATTTTAGATTATTTCCACAGTTACATTTTACTTCTATTGATTGCTAAAAAGTCCATTGTTATACTTTTGTTAAAGGCCATATCTAGAAGATGTAGTTTTATACACACACACACACACAAATCACAAGAAAATAAAATGTCTACAAATGACAGGATTAAACATGATTCTGCTAGCTGCATTCAATTAAAGAGACAAAAAAGAGTCTTCTGGACCCAATTGGATAAGATTTAAAGTAAAATTTAGCAAAAAAGTTGTCAATCATCAGAATTATTGGCAATAATCATAACATATGCATACGCATTAACATGATCTTTATACATGTTTTAATTTGACATTACTTATCTTTTTGTGAGTGAAAGAGGAAGACACCACAATCTCAGGTTAATTATTCTTTTATTTGGACAAAAGGTATCAACAAAATCAAAACAAATAATTGAACGGTCAAGATCGTATATTATTTCAGGAGATTAAGATCCTACATATCCCACGTGTCTATAATCTGTACCATCTCTCTCTCTGTCAGACTATAAAATCCTCGGCCCACACTACTTTGGAGACAGTACACAAAATCTAAAGACAAGAGAGAAAGAAAGAACAAAAGAAAGAACAAAAGAAAAACAAAAACCTTCTGTTTCAAGAAAGCATCGTTTTTATTTGTGTGTCCGAAAATGGAAGATCTTGACGATGAGTACAAGAATTATTGGGAAACTACAATGTTCTTCCAGAATCAAGAACTTGAATTCGAAAGGTACTTCTAGAATCTATTAAAAACTTTGGTGTTTCTTTTTTTTGAATATTAACTTTGGTGTTTCCAAGTTTGTCATTATATAGTTAATGAACTTGTTAAAATGATTTAGTTGGCCGTTGGAAGAAGCGTTTTCTGGTTCCGGCGACTCTAGTTCGCCGGACGGTGCAGCAACTTCTCCGGCATCTTCAAAGAACGTTGTCTCCGAGAGGAACCGACGGCAAAAGCTTAACCAAAGACTCTTCGCTCTCCGATCAGTCGTTCCCAATATAACTAAGGTGTGATTCATTCCATTAATGTCTCTCTTATTAATTTAATCAACTGTCTCTTTTATTTTATTTATTATCCAAATAATTTAGTGATTCTAGTTTCGTCACCAGCAAATATTTTCTTGGGTCAACACAAATTAAATAATCTAGTGAACTTTTTTATCTTCTTTCTTTTAGAAGAAACATAACCATTGATATCTTCAATCTAGTTAAACCAATTCCAACCAACATTAAACTAGAAAAAAAAAGAAACAAAGTTCTGATCCTTTAAAACCATATCAACCCAAACTAAAATATATTTTTTTAGCCTAATATATATGTGTATACGTGTAATGATTATCATATTTGGATTTACTTTTTTAATTAATGTTTATATATATAGTTGGACAAGGCATCTATTGTCAAAGATTCAATCGACTATATGCAAAAACTTATTGATCAAGAGAAAAGACTAGAAGCAGAGATCCGAGAGCTGGAATCACTAAGATCAGTAGTGCAAGAAAATCCGACAAGAGATTACGATTGCATCAATAATTTCCTGGAAAATCAGCAGCAAGATCTTTCTTACAATAATGTCACAAGATCAAAGAAGTTTAGGCATATGGATTACAATACTTTTGGATCATCAATTACTAGAGCACATAATCACTCCCTCATCGAAGTTCTCGAAGTAAGTATAACGCATCTTTGTTACATGTTAATGTTTGTATATTTTACCAATAGTAAAAGTTGATTATTTTTTTTATAAAATGAAAAGATGAAGGCGACTTGGATGGGAGAGAAGACGGTGGTGGTATGCATAACATGTAGCAAGAGGAGAGAAACAATGTTGCAGCTTTGTAAAGTGTTGGAGTCTTTGAATCTCAACATTCTCACTACTAACTTCTCTTCATTCTCCTCTCGTCTTTCCACCACTATCTTCCTCCAGGTAACTTTCTCTATATCTCTACATTTTCATGTATAGGTTTGGTGAAATTACTAGAAGCAGTGTTAAGTAACACAAAATGTAGTAAAACATATATATACTATTGTCATTGAAAAAACTGTCTCCTGACGGCACGTAGAAAAATCCTTTAGGTGTACATCAATCAATCAATCAATTTTTTGAATAAAAACATAAGACTAAATAGTCTAAAATGCGGTAGTAAAAGTGTTTTTTTCTTCTGAAATCACTTTCAAATCAAAAGGGCAAAAACTTTAGACGGACCCATTTAATTACCACTTTCTTCACACACGTATTAAGTGGTCCTTAATTCACAGTTTTACACTATTGCACCTTAAGTACAGCTATTTAACAATCTCGATTAAATATATTTCATATCATAATCAATTAACTAAACACTAATTATTGAGGTGGCCTCGAGCCCATCACTTCTTTTTGAATTTTGCATTGACTTTTTCTGAGGTTAGATTCTCTCAAAAGCTTACCTTAATCAAAGTTGTGTGTGAAAATCGTCAGTGCATCGTGTCGCATAACGCGTCGTCGAAACCTTATAGTATCACCTGGAAAACGTGGCTATTTATCATTTGTCTCTTTCTCGCTTACCGTTTCGCACGTGACTTCTTTATCCACTAAAATAAGTGTTACATAAAGAAATCCACTAAACAAGTAGTAAATGGTTTAAGTAAAATAAATAAATAATAATAGCCATTTTTTAAAAGAAAACTAATATAGTAAATGGTCGTAGTATATCCCTTTGTTATAATTCTCTTTTGGCAAAATGAAAAAGAAAACTAATATATGAGGTCTTTAATATAAGAATATTATTAGTCCATAACCATTTATTCTAGTTTGTTGGTAGTTCTTATATTTTCTATATCTATTATCTAGTTTTAATATTCCCTTTTTCTAATTTCTTATTATCAAATAATAGGACTTAACATTCCATTTTTTTTTTTGGAAAAACACATTCCATTTCTTACCAAATTGATTACAATAGTATGTTGTAGGTTGGAAAAATTAAAGCAAATATGAATATTTTGGTAAAGCAAATAAGTAATACTGTGTTGTTTTATCCCACCTTTATAACATTTTAGTTTTTAATAATATAATCAGACACCAAAAATACAGTAAAGTAGACTATTGAGAAAAGGAGTCTGGAGATTGGAGAGTTGGTGAAATCTTACTCCAATCATTTTTCTTAAAAAGTGGATCATTTCGTTTTCCAACCTGTCTTTATCTGTCGTTTTCAAATCGTATAAAACAATTATTGACCTTCTTTTTTCCACGAAAAATAATTATATTACTTATGCTTGTCGTATATACATCAAACTATGTTTTATTTTAATAGTTTATTTATAATGTTCAAAAAGTAGATTTATTTTTAAGAGTAAATTGTACTCCATCCCTTTCTTAAAGATATATATTCTAGAAAAAAAATTATTTCTAAAAGATCTATTTTTATACATTTTCAATGCATGTTTTATTAACTAACTGTAAAATTCAAAAAACTTAATTGCACTAATTAATTTTTTATTGGTTTAAAATTATAGGAAGAAGATAAATACAAAAAACTATACAAATTTATTGTGTTTTATTAAAAAGTGTGAAAAAACTAGAATATGAATCTTGTAGGAACAGAGAGAATAATAGTTAACTTATATATATATATATATATTCTTTGAATGGTAAGGCTTTTTAGTTTTGCTCAATATTTGATTTTGTTCAACTTTTCAATAAAACGAAAACATTTGTTCAAACCAAACTACATGCATGTTTTCCTATATATAATGAAGTATGTCAGTCAAATCAGTCTAGGATTGGAATGAAGTTTACAAAAGAATATTGGTACTGTTAAGTAAAAACATTAACTCCCTAAATTAATAACCTAAACCGAGATTGGACTAAAAATTTCTACTAGAGGAATTCTATTTTATGATGGTTTTTATAATGCTGAATTTGCAGGCGGGTGAAGAAGAGAGGAGTACGTTAGAAACAAAGATCCAAACGGCAATCGCATCTTATAATGATCCAAATTGTCTTATCAACATCTAATTTATTTCTTTGTACCAAACCTGTTCTTTTATGCACTATTTGTGAAGAGTTTATTCGAGCTTTATTTAATAATTCAAACCAAGCACTTAGATCAAACACATATATAAAAAGATTAAAAGCATATCTGACTTCCTATAGATTCAGTGAATATATATTTTCAATAGTGAACAAAAAGCAAATACATATTACAAGAAGTAGATAGAGAGAAAATACCAAATAGTTCTATTTGATCTTTGAACTTAGGCAACAAATCTTCTGTGACTGAATAAGAAATGACAGAGTAGAACATAACACTTTCTATATGAGTTTCTTTTGTTATGTTAAAAAAAAAAAGAGAATCTAATCTATGTTGTGGAAGCCAGGGAGTAGTGAAGTTATGAAGCCGAAAACAATCATCTGAATCTCTTTCACTATTCCCCACCATTGATTCCCTTGGTGACCTGCATCCACATTTTCATTTTCTCTGTTTCCATCATCAGCATTCTCTTGCCCCTCTGCACATAAAAAATAGAAATAAATTACATCTGCATAAGTTGTTGCTCTGATGACTTCAGATAATACCATTGGAAAGAGAGAAATTCCAAAAAACTAATCTATTACCGGGAACTGCATCTTCATTTAGTGGCACTGCAGCTGCAGGATCATTATCAGGTCTCGGAGCAGGTCGATTAGGTCGAGGTGGTGGTACTGCTGCTCTATGCATACCTTGTGAGAGCCATCGCACAAATGGTGCAAGAGCTCCAGTCTGGTATCTGTCAAGTTTCCAACACCAAACAGAGATCAGAATCTAATCTTAGATACACAAACTCTTTATCAAACTAGGGGGTAATAGGAGGCTTAAAACAACACTAATTTTATCAAGAATCATGCATTTGAGAGGTAGTTGTATATAACTGACAACAAACAGATTCTATAAACAACTTACAAGTAAATGTTGGTAGCGAAGATCACAAGAACAGCGAGTCTTTGTCTTGATCCATCTTGGTTGAACAGAAAGATGACAGCAGCAAGCTTGAGTATAAGGAAAATGTCAAGCTGAAAGGCGATCTCAAATCTCCGGACCACCACTTGTCTTTGATGTGCAGGTTGTTGATGTTGCTGACCTTGCCCGGCTTGCCCTTGGTTCTCTCCTCCAGCCTCAGTCTCATTACTTGGTCTAGTTCTAAACCAAAACAAAACAAAAACCATCAACTCCAAATAAAGGACACAATATCAAACCTGTAGTGCAAATTCACTAGCAAAGGAGGCCTAATATTTTCCTATGTAAACACTATACATGGTCGGATATAATTGTTTCTCGGACCAATTACTTGGTTTAATCATATGGGCATTGACAAAAAAAAACCCTGTAGTTCACTAAGTCATCTGAACACACACACCACTAGTGATTTGACCTAAATGAGTAAAAGGATCAACTTTGCTCTTAATATATCAAGCCTACAGTTTCTTTCCTACACTAAAAGCCATTTGAAGCCACACATCACCAGTGATTTTGCCCTAAATAAGCAAAATGATCAAACTTTGCTGTTACAATATCAAGCCTATAGTTTCCTACACTTAAATCATCTGAAAGCCACAGACAACTATTGATTTTGACTTAAATGAGCAAAGGGATCAACTTTTCGGTTACAATATCAAGCCTATAGTTTCCTACACTACAAGTCATCTGAAGCCACACACCACTAGTGATTTTGCCCTAAATGAGCAAATTGATTAACTTTTCGGTTACAACATCAAGCCTAAGGTTTACTACACTTAAAAGTCATCTGAAGCCACACACACCCCAAAGATTTGGACCTAAATGAACAAAGGAATCAACTTTGCTGTTAATTCTTCAAGCTAAATCAATTAACCAATGAAAAAAAGTTTCTTCTCCATATGAAAAGGGTATTACACTATTCAAAAGAGCATCAAAAACCTAACCTATAGAAGACTTTGCTGTTAGAATCTCAAGCCTATAGTTTCCTACACTAAAATTCATCTAAAAGCCAAACACCACAAGTGATTTTGATCTAAATTAGCAAAAAGGAATCAAACTTTGCGGTTACAATACCAACCCTATAGTTTCCAACACTAAGTGATTCTGACCTAAATGAGCAAAAAGGATCAAACTTTACAGTTAATTTCTTCTACCTTAACTCAAGTAAACCAATGAAAATGATTCTTCTCTATAGACATTATTCAAAAGAGCATCAAAAACCTAATCTATGAAAGAAAGAAACTTACGTGGTGGGGATGTTGTAAGTGAGAGGGATAAGATTAAGATAGTTTGAGGGAAGACCACCTCCAATTCCAAATTGATGATTCACAGGAGGAACCGCATAGATCCCACCTCCTCCATGATTCAATCCGGGAACAAGATGACCCTTTTTCAATGATAACATAGAAAAAAGGTGGAAACTTTATTTATTGTTCATTATCAATCATCACAAACAAAAAAAATCAAAATTTGAACAAACCTTGGGATTGATAGAGGAGGAAGGTTGCTGTGACGTTGAAGAAGACACCTTCTCGGGCTCTTCCGCCATTTTTTCTCCAAGGATGATTGATTAAGCTCCTTCTCTGTCTCGAATTGTGTGTGTGTTTCTTCTGATCAATTCTCGTCGAGGAGATGAATTGCTCTGCTCTCATTCGTCAGATACTCCAATTATGTTTTGGACACGTCAGGGATATTATTTAATTTTGCACACAAACTCCTTGTTTTTTAAAAATAACTATTTTTTCACCTAGTTATTTGTTTTGTACTTTTAGTTTCCAGATTATCAAAATCCAAATCGGTTTGGCTTTTGTTTTGTACCAAACAAAGAATCTGAAAACAAATCAAATTGAAGATTAGGTTGGTTTACAAATTTTATGCACTAGTTAGTGTCTACACTTAGAGCACTGAGCATACCATTACCATATTTGATGTTGATTTTTTTTTTTTATTAACATCCACCAAATTTGATGTTGATAATGTTGACATAACATTATATTTAATGTGATCTGATATGCTAGTGATGTTAGTGATGACATGCTTAAAGCATCGATACACAATTTTGTTAGATTGTGGAAGTGACTTAAATCCCATTGCACTAGTAAAATGTCACATTATTCATCTGCTACAATGAATATTTGACTCGTGATCAAAATTAACATTTGAGGGTGCATGTGGTGGTCGAAGGCTCTTCACGGTAGGTTATTATACCTTTTAGAATTAGAAAAAGTGTTTAAGTAGATAAATATGTTTTTCTAAATAGACAAAAAAAAATAGATTATGAGATTGTATAAATATGATTTTAAAAATTGTAAATTATTACTTTAGATAACCAATATACAAATCTTTGGTATTAATCTTGTATCTCTCCAAGTGTTTTTGGCTTTTCGTGCTTAATTCGTGTTTGTTCCCAGCATATATTTCTCAAAACAATTCCATGTTAATTTTTTAGCAATTTTCAAGTACTCAAAATAGGAACACAAAGTAGAAAAGCAACTTATATATCATCGCCACCATAACGAGAGAAGTTAAAGGGAGAAGCTATACGATGTATAACAATGTAAGGAGAGACAAACAAATCTGGCTCCGAGACAAGAACACCATCGAGTGCAAAGCCTGAAGCCGAGTTGTTGGTCACAACGATGGAGTTTCCAGAGAGAAGCGTTGGGATGCGAGAGAGAGGCTCCATGAGGCTAATGTTGTAGAAGTGAAGCAACTGTGGGACGATGTGGTAAGCAGCTACTAGTGGTGACGTTGCGTTGATTCCTTCCACGGATGTTTTGGGAAGGAAGAGTGTTGAAGTGAGAACTTGACCGTTTTTCTCGTCGTTTGTTGAGAGGAAAGCTGGGCTCCAATCTTCAAAATTTCCTCCGGAGATCATTGCGTCTATGATTTTGATTACAAGTTTGTCTTGATCCGCGGCAAGGGAAGTGGATGATGTAGTGGTGATGATGAGGAGAAGGAGAAGAGGGAGGTGGTTGTTGCTTGCCATGAAAGAATGTAGATGGAACCCTAAGTTTCTTTAGGTTAAGAAAAGATGAAGAATGAAGATAGTTGGGGTGTGAGGTTTTTTATTGGTTTATTTGTTCATATAGAAGAATAATGATGGGCATTTGAAGGTGAGGACTAGTAGTTGGATCATGTAAATTATTTTTGTACCTTGTGTTGTAGTTGGACAATGCAAAAGCTATATAAGTATTTTGCAAGTGCATTTTACATGAGTCATAACCGATTTTGAACTACATTTTCAGATTTTTACATATTACAATTTACAACAATAATGTTTAAAAAATATACATATTACAACAATAAGATTATGTGATATATGAATCAGTGATATGAATGTTAATGATGGTTACTAAATGTCTGATAATCATAATTTTTAAGGTTAAGGTTTCGAATAGTGATCGCCCATCCCACCCCACACTATGAATAGTAACAATTTTTTTACATATATCTATATATTTTTATTATTATTTGGACTGTACATGTTCACCAGTTGTCCTGCACCTTACTATTAGGAGTCTAAGATCATTTCCAAGTCATTGTATACTGAATAAATCAATTATATAGATGTGAATTTTAGTTTAATGCATGTGTCTATAAATAAAGTTTTTTTAGTTTAGAAAACAATATAGGAAAATTTTAGGGTAATTCTCTCAAATAGTTTTTTTTTAAGTTTTTATCACAAAAATATAATTCAAAAATTAAAATGACCAAAATAGCACTTTTTATTTTGAAAATTTTAAGTTTTCTTAGTTTTTTTAAATTCGAAACCCTATCCCAAAACCCCACTCTTTCAACTTTAAACAAAAGAATCTAAGATTAGTTAACCCAAGGGGTATAATGTATATTTAATAAAACATTTAAGTATAATTTTGGTCATTTTAATTGTTAAGATCTATATTTATAATAAAAACTTTTTAAAGTCTACTGTAGTCATTTTTTCAAAATTCAATCATTAATTCTTTTTATAAAAGTAAAATTACAAAGAAAGTTCGTGAGTTTTACTCCAATGTATAACATTTCCATATACATTTCCAAAGTAGAAGAATATATAGAAGAGAGTTGAAATGTTCTAATAATCAACCATTTGTCCCCGGTTTATCGTTCTAAACCGACCAAACCAGTACCGAACATTCAATTTAAAACCAAACTAAAATTCGCAAATAAAAAAATCGAATTAAACCAAAACAAAACAAAAAAACCAAACCGAAACTCATTCAGTTTATTGTCACCTTGTCTCTCTCGATCCCCAATTCGTGGACTAGGGTTACCTTTTTATACACACTCATCGCGCAAAAACAAACGAATCCAGATCGGAAAAATGGCGATGAGGAGAGTATACAGCGAGATCAAAGGCAAGAAAGTGAAGGAGCTTCCTTCCTACATCAAATCCTCGTTTTCAACTCAATCCGTGAAGACATATGTGAAGAAAGGTCTCGATAACTACAACGACAAATACATTCAGACAAGCTCCGTCCAGCCTCTCCTCCATATCTGTTTCGGAGGCATGGCTTTCTCTTACCTCGTCGCTCTCCCTCACGAGCGTCGCCATCTCGAGCACCAGCAGCATGCTAAGGAGCACGGTGGTCATTGATCTCTCCAGGTTTGGTTTGATTAATGCATAATCGTTATTGATTTTTAAAGTCAAAGTTGATTGATTTGATTATAAAGGTTTCATCTTTGGTTATTTTTTATGTAATTTTTCTGATAATTTTATTTGATTTTAAATGATTGAGATGTGTGAATGAATATTTTTATGATCAGACCAGTTTTAGGTTCTTTGGGCAGTTCTGTAATGACTACTATCACTTTGATCTCTTTTTGTTGTTTTGGTGTTTATGGATGTGTAGATGGTCTTGTTAATATTAAGGTTTCATATTTGGTTAATTTGTGTGTAACTTATTTTTTGAAAAAGATTTAATTTTTCTGATTATTCTAACAGATTTTAAATGATTGAGATGTGTAAATGAATATATGATCAGACCAGTTTAGGTTCTTGGAGCAGTTCTGTAATGACTACATCACTTTGATCTCTTTTTGTTGTTTTGGTGTTTATGGTTGGATGTGTAGGGGATGCTATGGTCTTGTTAATGTTAATATTTCTTTTTATTCATGTCTTGATATTATTATAATTGTAACAGTTTCTAATGAATAGTGTGTTCTTTTTGCTTCTGTTTATGAATGCAGAGGTTGGTTTCTGCGATTATGACGAGTGAAGAATGAATGTCTTGTTATTTCCTTTTTTTTCTTGAAACTCCTGGATTGATATTATTGTTGATCTAAAGGAAAACCTTTTTTTTTTTTTGCAAAACTGAAGCTTGATATTGATGAATAATGAAACTGACTGTTGTTTCTTCTATTGTAATAAGTTGTGGATTCAGCATTTTGTTTTTTCCTATTTAGTGTTTCGGTTTATATCTATTCGATGCTTGGATCAGTTATAACATATTGTATGATCTAGGAGGCACTATCTATCTGAGATTGGACACTAGAGATGGGCTTAAGGTGGGCTTTTTGATGTAGAATTCATCTTTCTTGGAGAGCTAGTTTGTTAAAAATGACTTAAACCTAAGCCCAAACTGACTCATCTTTTATCAAAGTTACGCTTTGGTCGACATCAATTTTGGGAGTATTATCATAATATGGTGACATACCTTCACGGGAAAGGCAAAGCAATCTTCACTTTTCTCATCATGATGTTGATACCAATATACTATTAAGCTACTATAGATCAGGATAAGTCCGTTTCTTTATAAACAGAGCCAAGACAGGATTTCCATTGTTGTCTAATAGCATTAGGTCATTTTCAAGCAAATGATACATGACACGTCATAGTTAGTTAGTTTGTATGTTAAGATAGATATAGATAGTTGTGTGTATATATAGATGAAGTAAATACTCAAATAAGTAGCATTTTGGCGTTACACCTAATTCACTATTATCAATAAATGTTATGTAGACTCACGAAAAGTTTGCTGTCACGATTTTGCACACTTGTAAATTTGATTCTCTGCACCTTTTGACCGAAAGGCAGTTGAAAGTTTCTTTGATAATCATCAACAACAACTATTTCCATAATCAAAGGCAAAAAATGCAATAAATAAATAATTTCCTCTTGAAAAAAATCAAAAGTTCTTTAGAATTTTGTCAATACAATTTGTTTGGCAGTATCAACAAATGTAATAATCAAGGATAGTTCAAAATATGTAAAAGTCATGTTGCTGTATTAAGTTTCTGTGTTTATGAATGAGAAATGACTTGGAATAGATTTAGATAAAGTGGCATATCACATACATGCATAAAATGAAACACGTCACTTATATACTAGTAATTATTTGCTGATACAACTACATGAGTGCTGCAAATGATTTCCAAACAAAATCACTTTCTTTTTTATACAACTAGCTAGGGAAGTTCCATAAAAAAAACTCGAATTAATCCAAAACAATTTCATTGTCACTTCAAATTGTTACACGGGAGCTATTTTTAGTTTCATCTATGACCTATAACATCTGATATATCAACGGACTTATAAGAGATTAACTTGCTAATTAATGCCAGTGAAAATATCCCAAGCAAGTTCAGCTTATATTTGGGTTTTTAAAGATATTCACAAGCTCTTGACATGTAGACAAAAAGGGTTAGACCGATGAATAGTTAATAATCAAAACCGTGAGAAATTTTTTTGGTTGGTATATAAGAGAAGGAATCAAATGTTTTGGACAAGAGGAAAGTGTCACATGACACATGATGTGTCTCAATTCTCAACTAAACGACATATCCCTCACATGTGACTTTGGATGCTTAACTTTATACGACCACGTATACCTCCAACTTACTTAACTACATTACAAACAATACTTTCATATTCACAAATCAAAGCTTAGAACTTAGTCAAATAACATAATATTTTAGAACTATTAGTTAATCCAATTTTCAGTTGAGTCTCTTACAAACGATCTGCCATTTTTCTCTTTGTAATTATGTCATATAGGACCATAATGGAGTAAAAAATAATCCAAAAAAGAAACACAATCAAGTGCCATCAACTCTGTATATAAATCCTTTTTGAGGGAAAACGCGTTATGTGATTGAAACATGAATTCTAATCAAACATCATTAACATTTACTTTATGTCTCTCTAGATTAATTAATAATATTTTTTATACTTTTCTTTACGGTTAATCAATTACTAAGTCAAACTCTCTTTTTCTCTCCCTCCTTAGACTTTTCTTTTGGTACATACATGAATGTTTTTGTTTTGTTCATAAGCAACGTCGCTAAAGATTAATAAAATAAAAAAATATACTCCCTCAAAAATCTATATAATGTTTTAGAAATTTTTTTACTGTTTCATAATAAATGAACTTTTTATAAATTTATACAATTTAAATTTTATCAAAAACTGTATAACCAATTATAGTTTTATTATTTTCTATTTATAGTTAAATAAATAAATTTAAAACTATATATTTAATAATATTTTTGATAAATGTAGTTTTTTAAATATCTGTGCATTGGATTAAAACATTATGTAATAAGAAAAAAAAGTTACAGATGTGAGAACTGCCATTACCCACGCTTCCTTGTCTGCTTGACATTGAAGAAAAATAATTAAAATTTAAAAATGAATTAATGAAAAAGAACAAAACCCTAAATCTCAAATTCCACACTTACACACTCTCTCTCATCTCTCACTGACAACTTCCCACTTATTTACATTACAAGACTCTTTTATACCAATCAATCTTGTTCAGATTGTTGTCTATCTGCACATCTGATGTTCTTACAGTGACTAAATTTGGAATCTTTGGTCCGGTTTTGATCTAAACCGTAAACCCAACCGTCTCATCTCAGTTCTTGATTCATTTCTTGAGTCAGTAAGTTCTTAAAGTTTCTCTCTTTATCTCTCTTTTTTGGCTTTTTCCCATTCAAACCTTCAAGATCCCTTGCTTGCAAGATTTGTGAAAGTGGGTTCATCTTTTTTTTCTTTTTACTTATCTCTAAGTACATTGATCTGTCTTTTACAAGTTGCTAAATGGTTCTTTATTTTGTTAATTTGTTTTAGTTAAGTTTGTTTTATTTATTTATTTACAAATTAAATCTACAACAGTATCTGTTCTATCAAGTGGGACTGATTTTAAGTCTCTATCTTTGGAGTTAATTGTGAGTGGGCTTCTCTTCATGTGCGTGGTTCCTCTTAAAAGTTAAAGCAAATAGCTGAGATGTCAGATTTTTAAAAGTTTTGTCTTTGATCATTTCTGAAAGAGAGCAAAAACTGTTTCCTAAGCTCTGATAAGTGTGTGATATTTAGTTATACACAAGGCTAATTAAGTAATTGTTATATATATATGTTGTTTCAGGGATGCTAATGTTTTTCTTTTTTTGGATACTGCAGATTAATTAGTCTCTATAGGATAACTGAGTTGGTGCTTCTTTGGTGAGAAGCAAGATGGATATGAGTTGTAGAGTTCTTGTCTTTTTGGCAATCTTGTACACTGTGACGGCAGAGATTTATATTGTGACTATGGAAGGAGAACCTATCATAAGTTACAAAGGTGGTGATAATGGTTTTGAAGCTACTGCTGTTGAATCTGATGAGAAAATTGATACCAAAAGGTATATATACTCTGTGTTCTCTCTTAATGGTTACTACACTGAGAGAGGTTTGATAGTAAGATTTGGCATCTTCTTTAACGTTGCTTGCTATTTTAACAATATGTAACATCTCTGTTTGCAGTGAACTTGTGACTTCTTATGGCCGTCACCTTGAGAGGAAACATGATATGCTTCTTGGATTGCTCTTTGAAGAAGGATCATACAAAAAGCTTTACAGCTACAAACACCTCATAAACGGATTTGCAGCTCATCTCTCCCCTGCTCAGGTGAAATCCAATTCAAGATTTTCTCTTTGGATGTTTATTTCATTCCTCCTTACACTATTCCTCTATATTAGTAGGCAGAAACACTTCGTCGCTCGCCTGGTGTGAAATCTATAACCAGAGATTGGAAAGTGAGGAAGCTCACCACACACACACCACAGTTTTTAGGACTACCAACTGATGTCTGGCCGACAGGTGGTGGTTATGACAGAGCAGGGGAAGATATTGTTATTGGCTTTATAGACTCAGGGATTTTTCCTCATCATCCGAGCTTTGCCTCTCACCATACAGCAGTTCCTTATGGTCCTCATCCTAGTTATAAAGGGAAATGTGAAGATGATCCTCACACTAAGCTTAGCTTCTGTAATGGGAAGATCATAGGAGCTCAGCATTTTGCTGAAGCTGCTAAAGCTGCTGGTGCTTTTAACCCTGATGTTGACTTTGCTTCACCAATGGATGGTGATGGACATGGAAGGTTAGTGTATACACAATTATGATTAATTCATGCTTAAATGTGTTAGATACTTCTTAGAATTGTGTTATGTTTCCTGAGCTTTCAACTTAAAAATTATTGGCGATAAGTGGATTGGTCCTAGCCATTTATATATTAGTCTATTAATTCTCCTTCATTCATTTATTAACAAACTGTTTGCCCTCTGCTCGTTTAAATTTTGTTTAGTAATGCTTTCTCTGTTCTTATTAAAATATGGTTGGCCTTTCAGTCATACAGCAGCTATTGCAGCTGGGAATAATGGTATTCCGGTGAGGATGCATGGCTATGAGTTTGGAAAAGCAAGTGGGATGGCTCCTCGTGCTAGGTAAATAGACAATACTCAAGTGGTGAATTTAGAGGCGTCCTCGTTGCATGTCTTTAAAGGTTAAGTTCTGTTTTGTTTCAGGATTGCTGTTTACAAAGCTCTGTATCGGCTTTTTGGAGGTTTTGTAGCTGATGTGGTTGCTGCCATTGATCAGGTAAGCAACATTTTAGCTCTGTATGATGAGATGATACTCCCTCTTACTGCACTTGTGCCAAATTGAAGCTGATGTGGTTGCTTGTTTGTTCTGTTTTTAGAATCTTCACAAGTGATCTTTCTAATAGCTAACTTATTGTTTACTTCTATGCTTTTGTGAGCAGGCTGTTCATGATGGAGTTGATATTCTGAGCCTCTCGGTTGGTCCAAACAGTCCTCCAACTACTACAAAGACAACATTCTTGAATCCCTTCGATGCTACACTTCTTGGAGCAGTAAAAGCTGGTGTATTCGTTGCTCAAGCTGCTGGAAACGGAGGTCCCTTTCCCAAAACTCTGGTTTCATACAGCCCTTGGATAACTACTGTTGCTGCTGCAATAGATGACCGCAGATACAAAAACCATCTCACCCTTGGAAATGGAAAAATGCTTGCCGGAATAGGATTGTCACGT